ATCAAGTCCCCCGTGATCAGATTCCGACCTGAAGCCGTATGAGGAATCCCGTTCAGTGAGGCTAAACAGCCCCTGCGCCGGTGCGCCTCAGAGATCAGGTGTCCTGCCACCACATCGCAGTCGACTGACATTTCTTGGAGCAAGGAGCCATCAAGGGAGTAGTCTTGGAGAATATGGCAGATTTCTCCAATGTCCGAGGCAGGGTACACCAAAAATATTACAATCCGGTTAGCAGGCTGGGCAGCCTGCCGCGGCGCGGCAGAGGCAAGCGACACGACAGGTCGATGTGGCACTCGGCCCTGCAACCCCAGTATGAACAGGAGCTCGCAAAGGGACTGCCGCACATTGGCCAGTCGGATGGGCTGCGGGGCCAGCCGGATAACAGTTCCACCACCTGCCAGGACAAAGGAGACGGTCTCCGTGGGGTTGGAGGCTTGTGTTGTGGTGAGCACCGCAGTACTGGTCAGGGTGGTAGGCCTGCCAAGAGTCATGAGCCACCCAAGCTGTTGTTGCAGTCGCGGCTCAAGGACCACTTTGAGCCACTGCACCTCGCTGAGATCCATGGGCAATGTCTCCCATATCCGGCCAGTGGGGTCCTGCAGGAAAACACCGTCAAGTTGCAAAGCCTGCTCAAGAAGCTGCGCAGTGGACGGAGCAGCCTTGGCCAGAGCCTCGAGAACCCTCTGAAAGTCTAGGCCCGGCGATAAGGGTAGCGCACACAGTGGCCCGCCAATGGCACGAGCATCGAGAGGAAGCACAAGGACCCCCGGGGGTAGGCCAATCGGCGTAATCGTGAGCTGGGGCTCAGGGAGGTCAGCAATGGGCAGAGTCAGGACCTGCACACTCTGAGTCTCTTCACTTGCTGAGCTGGTTGCATCAACGATGTAGTCCAGGAGGGACCAGTGAACGGAGGCCTTCCGAACAGCATGGTGTCTATTCCTGTCGAAGACACTATATCGCCGGAGCTCATTGTGGTGCGCAGGGGCTTGACAGAAAAGGCAAAGCTGCCCCGCCGGGATTTCTCGTAGGTTCGGGGCAGCAAGTCTCTCGGGAAGTATCGTAGGCACCTTGGTGGTGGAATGTACAACACTGGCCCGAGGAGGGCCCTCCGTCCTTAAAAGGGTGGGTGGATCCCCGGCAGGAAAAGCAACCAGGCAGGAGTCACTTCCCCACACTTCAGACAATGCTGAAACTTGTCGGTCTGCGTCGCGGACATAGTCGACCTGACACCTTGCTGCGTCGGTAGGCCGTTGGCTGGGATCGACGCGCGGCTCAAGTGACGTAATGGGGGCTTTGTGCTGCACAAGGGGCAGGCGCAGAGAGAGGCTGGTTTGCATGAGTGCTGTGTCGTCATCCTCAGCAACCTCAGCGCCGACATCGGGCGCATGCGGCACCACAGCCAGCGGGGCGCGTCCCTGTATGTAATCAGGTCCAAGAACTTGGTAAGGGACCGCCACAAAATTGCGTCCGTCCGGCAGATGCAGGCGGAAGGGCCCCTGCGGCCGGCGATGCTCTGGGCATGCGTTCATCACTTCCAGTGAGACCTCGTTGGCAGTGCACACCCGTCCGCCCACAGATCTCAGGTCTATGGGCGTGGCGTGAGCCTGTTCCGATGCCTCCCTTGTCGTTGCCACCAATTGCACCGCCGGGAACCCGGCCATTCGCTCGAGAAGGACCCGCAGGCTACGTAGGCCAGGGACTAGGCTATAAACCTCAGCGACCAAAGCCCCCAACGTCATCCCTCGGCGCATCTGGCGGACCTCAACGTGCGCCGATGTGGTGAACAATGCAAAGCGGTCCTGCTGAGGCGTTTCACAAGTACCCCCACTAATTCTATACCCGGAGAACCACCAGAATTGAGAGACCTGCATCTCGCGAAGTTCGGGGCGGTCAAGCTCCTCCGGGTATAGGCTGACCTGTGCCGAGAGCCGGAGTCGCAGGTCAGTAAGGCCCGAGGTGGCAGGTCGGCTCGTGCCAGCGGCAGGACGCACAGTGCCCTCACATACAGCGGGCAAGGGCTGGGCAGCAAGAGGGCAGGATGCGGTGCAGGCAACAGGCCGCACACGCTGCGACAGGGCATCAAGGATGACAGGCCTGCGGCCACCTGTGGTTGGAGTGGGCGGGAGGGGTCCAACCCCAGTCGAGAGCTGGCGGAGGAGAAGGTTTAGGCAGGCAGCGCTCGCGTCACCAAAGGAGAGGTGCAGCTGGATCGGGTGAGGGCGCCTGTGCAAACGGCCTACCAAACCTGGCTGTACAGCTGTACAAGGCAAGTCACTCACATCAAGCCGACATGAGGGGTGTCGCTGACCCCGTGGGGAAGACGAGTAATTCAAAGAAGAGCAAACCGCATCAGTATCAATCACAGGTCGACCCATGCACACTGTGAGACACCGGAAGATTTGCTCCCCCTCGTCAAACTCGTCCTGCCCATCGAGATCAGGACCCGCGTAGCATCCAGTCTTCAGATGCTCGATCCCATGAGCGTCCTTGTAGACCACGGCGGTGATACGTGGGTCGTCAGCGAAGGGCATGTCCAGACCAAAGCTGACATCTGAGAGCTCCACTTCCAGCTGCAGGTTAGCAGCCAGGATGTCAGCCCACCAGGGCCCGACATAGTCATTCTCGTCCATTACGGAATGACATGAGCCAAAAGGCCCACCTAGCACACCGAGGCTACTAGGCGGGCCTAGCCAGGGGGTTTCTTGGCCTCCGCGGACTCGTCCTGCGAGGGCCCAGACTTTCCAGAGCCAGCTCCTTTTCCATCCTTCGCCTTGGCATCTCCGCCTCCTTGACCGCGTCTGGGAGTACGGCTGCCGTCTCGCTGCTTTTGGGCCTCTTCCACAGCCTCCGCAGCTTCCTGGTGGGCCTGCTTTGGCAAGCCCTGTCTCCTCGTGTTGTGGGCCTGAAGCTGTTCTTGGGAACGCCGGTTGCGCTCCCTGACCTCTGCCTCGACCTCCACCGCTGTAGTGACCATGGCATCCGCTGCATCGCACTCGTCCAGTCGTCGTCGATGATGTGTGGCCCCGAAACGGGCTCCGGCTCTGCCGCCGCCGCTGTGGCCAATGCCTGTGTAGCATTCGCCAGCCTCACCGAGAGCTCCGTCTCCTTCTCGGCATAAGCCGCCATCGCGGCCAAGCGAGCTTCGCCTTGGCTTTGCCACATCTCGAGGAGTTTGAGCACATAGGCCTCCCACGCGGTATTGTAAGCAGCCCGGTCCGATCGCAATTGCTCGAGTTCCTTGCGAAGCTGGACCTTGTCCGAAACCAGGCGATGCATATGCTTTCCTTGCTGGTGGGTTGCCTCCACTTGGAATTGGCCCAGTCGCCGCTGGAGATCCGGTGGCAGTTGGTCGGCAGGGATATTGGCCAAAACGTCGGCAAGAAGCCTGCGCTCCTCCACCGGCATATTGGAACTCGCCGCGGGTGTTGTTGCCGGGGCCGACCTGCTCGGTAGCTTGGCACCCGGAGGGGAAGGCAGGCCAGAGATCGTTGGTGCTTCTGGCGGAGGTCCCTGTACGGCACCCTGTGAAGGGGCCGAATCCTTTCCCGCTCCCTTCTTTCCTTTGCCCTTGGGCTCCTTGCCTCGTCGCCTCGGCGATTGAGGTCGCCATGTTGTGTCGGTCCTTCTCCGCGGGGAAGACGAGGGCTGATTGCTCCACCAGCCGCGCTGCCATGGCGGCTGCTCCACAGCCGCTGTATAATTGGCTTGTCCATGCTCCCCAGGGTCGGCCACCTGTTGCCAGTGGCCTCCGCAGCTCGGACAATAGACCGCACTCGCCCGACACATTTGTCGGCAAACACTGCACTTCCAGGTCGTCATTGTGCCTCTGGAAGGACGCCTTGTCAAAGTCACTGCTTTTGCCACACCCAGTCGCGCACGACACCTGGCTGGCAAAATAGACCGCGAATGATGAGTCTCCAAGGTCCGGGCTGCACGTTCCAGTCGCTCGGACCAGGAAGTCTGCTGCGTAAGGGCGAGCCGCAGAGTCGTCCGTGCTCTGGTGCGCGCTCGCCGCTGTCTCCTGTGCGCTGCAGGTTCCCTGAGCACAGGCCGCCTCCGGCCACTCCTGCCCGCCACCACTGGCGACAACGAAGAGGTAGAAGCTGAAAAAATAGATCACCACAAAGACCAGCCAGGTATCCCTCATACACCAGCCGGTCGCCAAGGTCCGCAGAACACTTGGGGCACGGGCGCCACTCCGCAGAAAAAAGCGCAGTAAAAGAATGAAAAACCCCCTCGCGATGCGTACAGGGGCAAACCTCAATCCAGCTGCCGTGCAGGGAAAGAGGCGGTAACTGGGACCCCCCGCAGGTCAAGGTCCAGAGCGTGGGCTGAGAAGCCACACTAGGGTCAGGCCGCCAGGAGCAGTGGATCCACGAGGGAAAACTACACTGACCTAGCAAGCCAAACGCCTCTTTTCAGGGATTAGGGTATAGAGTGTCGGGATTAGGGATTTACCATTCGGGACCCCGCGCCTGGTTCAAAGCTCCTCCGGCTGCCCAGCTGCTGATGCCCACGGCATAGGGCAGCGCAAAGGGGCTGCTGGGCTCTTTCAAGACCTAGGGTTAGGATGTGGCTCGAAAGAAAATTCGAAGACGATCCTCGTATTGTAGAGGAAGGAAATGCTCAACTGGGGTTCACTGAACTAAAGAAAAGTAAAAAAGATCCCTGTGGCCTAGCGACACACTTCTCGCCTCCAGACTGCTCCTTGGTCTCTGCTAGGGAGGAAACAAAAATCTGATCTGTTTCATGGTCTGACTTGTAATTTAGGGTTTAGGGTTTAAAGTGCTGGGAAACCTGAACCACAGGTTCCACCAAAAGTAAACGGGATCCCGAGCACAAAGCGTTTTTGGGACCCTTGCAGAACGGAAAGACCGTGATGAGAGCCTTTACCAGAAGCAATGAGCGTTCCTAACGCAAAACCTTTGTAGAACCCTGTTAGAATCCGATGAACCCCACCCAAGAACAAACATAAACAAGCAAAAATCCATCCCTAGCACTGCCCAAGGCTCCTTCGGAGCCGCACCACCGAAGGCAAAGGTCTCGGTAAAGCCTCCACCCATGGTTCCTAGGTTGACCCCCACTTATGAGCCCCAGACCCCAACCCCAGAACCCTAAGCCCCTAAACCCTAAACCCTAAACCCAGAACCCTAAGCCCCTAAACCCTAAACCCCTAAACCCTAAACCCCTAACCCTAAGACCCCCAACAAGGGGAACCAGAAACATCTCCCAAAGCCTCCGCCCATGGTTCGATTCAGACTTCGCAGGCCGGAGAGGCCAAAATCCTTTGCGAAACTTCGGCGTTGGGGGGTTTGCGGGGGGTTTAGGGTTTGGGGGGGTTTAGGGTTTAGGGTTTGGGGTTTGGGGTTTAGGGTTTAGGGTTTAGGGGTTTTGGGGCTTTGATGGGCTTTGTGTTCAGAGCTTTAGGGCTTAGGGGGTGAAAGGTTTAGGGGGTTTAGGGATTTGGGGGTTCTGCGGTTTAGAGTTGAGGGAGAGCCCCAAAGTCCTTGCAGGGCAACATGGGCGCCATGCTGTACTTCACCTGCTGGTTCTGGGGATAGAAGGGGCTGCCGGTGAAGTCAGGGCACATCTGAAAGGACACCACATTGTCATTGGAAGCTTCGTACTTCAGAGGTGCCAACGAGCAACCATTCATGATGAAGGTTCGTGGCTTATCTGTCCGCGGGGTGAGAAATCGCTTCTTCTCCAGCTGAGGGTTGTCCTCCCTGATGCGCTTCAAGTCCTCCTCTAAGGCCATGTAAGCCTCTAGGCTGTCGAGGCCATCAAAGTTTCGCAGCAGCCATTCCGACATCAACTTCGGCCAAACCTCATACTCCCGTCCCTTGTGTTCCTCCAAGAGCGCCTTCACAATGGTACTGGAGTCGCCATTTACAACTCCCGAGAGGAGTGGGACCTCCTCCTTCAGTGCTTCCATGGTCAAGTCTGCAGGTATCGTTACCTTCCCGAGCAGCTCGGATGTCTCGATGGGGGCTCCCTTGAACTCCTTACTTCTCCAGGGGGCTCCTAAGAAACTCAAGGCGAAGCTTTTTGGGGTACTTTGGTGGCTCATAGTACCCCCAAAAAAAGGTAAGGTGACCAATACTCCGCTAGGTCTCTCTGGCAAACATCAGAATCGAGGAACACCACGTTCCACCGGACACAGAGCTTATGGCATCCAGCTTTCCCAAAACTTCCAGCTCGTTCAGGGCCCGGTAGACTCCCGTCGAGAAGGACATGGCGCGGCAGCCACCGCCAGAGGCGCAAAGCCCAACGTTGATACCCGCACCTGCTATATAGGGCTGAGGGGTTTAAGGATTCCTCTCCCAGAGGGTCCATATATACTACCATTATGGAATTAGATCCCAAAAGACCCATAATAGTAGTATATGTGGACCCGTAGGGTCTTAGCCAATGAAGAAGCCATGAAACGCATGGTGCAACGTAGACAGGCCGTCTCGTGCTAATCATGTCCAAGGCTCCTGGTAGTTCGACATCTCCGTGAACCGGCAAGACCTTAGCACGAAAAACCTCACCCAGTGGGCGATACTTCTCGCTCTTCGTGCTGGCGCTGGTGCACTGTCCCATTGTGGCGGCGGATGTGGATGAAGCGGCCTGTCTTGCTATCTTAGCCAAAAGCTGCGGTCGCGTCACAGGGCCAGAAGCTTCGCCGGGGCGACAGAGCATCCACACAAACCCATTCAACTCGCCGTGTCCCGCGAACAAACTCTAAATCCGGAACTCTGCTCAACGGCTCTAAGCCCGCGTCGCGGCCCAAGTCTTTCAATCGGGTCATGACTTCGGCAGTAGCTGCCTGGCGGTGAGGTTTGGGAGAGTGGTTGCGTTAAGGTTGCAAGTCTATGGGGTTTAACCCTCAAAATTTCGGGTTTTAAGGTTTTGGGACTGAGGGTGTAGTAGTATTCAGGGGTGACGGGCGGGCCTTTATGGCTTTTAGACCCTTTCGCGGCTCAGGCTCAGAAGCTGATAATTCCACGAGATTCCATGTCATGGCTGCGGTAATAGGGAATCTCAAGACAGGCATCAGAGCAAAGGTCACAGCGATGGTGCTGGCACTGTATCACAACTCATATCATCGACATCATGATCACCAACATCAGCAGCAGCCAGCATCATCATCATCAGCAGCATCACCACCACCATCATCATCACCACTATCATCATCACCAT